GCCTTATGCTTGTGGTCCGTGGTTCCATTTATAACTGAGTTATTCGAAATGCTTGATTCACGAACTGATTTTCACAGAGGGAAATAACCACTTCTGTAATTACAATAAAATATGTTTTGTACTTTGCAGAGGACTGAGCCATATGACGGCTAGCGGTATGAAGATTGCGGGTGTACACACGCTGCGACATGCTCGTCACATATTGGCTGTGGTCTGTGGATTAGGAATGGGTGTTATGGCTGCTTTGTTTCTTGTCATCAATGTTATCGCTGATTTCTGGGGCCCTGGAACTGTTGGCTTACCGGCTACTATCCCAGAATTATCGGACCGCTTCACCGTCAAGCTGTTCGCGGAGGACCAGAATTTTCCCGTAATTAGCTTACCGTTTCATTTCTTACGCTTCTGTTAGAGGGGCGATATTATTGATTTTTAATAACATTGCTTATTTTAGTGTGAGGGAGCAAAGGGATGAAGCAAAATGGGCTCTCAGTAATGCCAAGATTTTTAAGAAAAAAGTGCGAGAAGCAATGTGGACGATTTTTTCACCATCTAAGTAAAAAGGACATTTTCCCTTTACATTTTCCCTCATAACATCCTTGATTTCGTTGTTTCTTAACGGAAAGAAGAAATTTATTAATGGAAAAGATTTAGAGCCATGAAAAAAGAGAAAGGATTGATGAGCAAAACGAAAATTGTTTCATTGAGTTAACCTTTTTTAATTACTGATTTTGGACGTCTTCGTCTTACTTTATTTTTTTTTTTACCTTATTGTGGTGCGGGTTTACAGCCTTGCAGTAGTTGGCAAAACTCACATTGTAACGAACCATGGTGTGTGTATATTAGTATGTGTATGGGCGTGTGTGTGCGCGCGTGCGTTTGTCCGGATAAATCAGTTCGATAACCAAATGAACTTACATACTGAAATTTTGTCAGTGGATTCTCAGGCCAAATACTATCCCATAAAGTGATATCAACTTTCGCGCACATTTGAGTCTCACTTACGGACACGTCGAAGTGTTAGAGAGAGTTGCTAACTCAGAGACCAGAAAAGCTGGAAAGCTAAAACTTTAGGAGGATATTCCCTGCCCAGATACGATGTAAGTGTTTCAAATCCAGCCCCTAAGTACGTTTAGTTCACACGAATGAGAACATGGAAGTTTTATACGATTTTGTCATCATTCCCTCTCTACATCCTCTCATGGTCCATTTGGCATTTTTTAGTGAATAACAGCCAACAGACAGCTTTTCATTTTCCTTCCTACGAAATTTGTGGTAATGATGCATGCTGGAGGTTAAGATTTCACGCGGTCCCATGGCGCAACACTGTCGTCCCGACTGACAAAGTTCTCCCTTGCGTGCAGGAAAATAGCAAACACTGCCAATATTAGTCACATGTTATACTTAAGGCAGTAACCATTCATACCGTTAACGATGTTATTGCTTTAGTTTTAGTGCAGAAATGCATGGATGCATTGATAGGCGTTGTTAGTTGTTTTACTACTTTTATATATCCAAATTCCACAGGTTTTCACGCCATTTCAGATGACATATTCGATATCAGTTTCGATGCTTACCCTTTTCCACGTCTTCTGGACTGTACTTTTCTGGGATGGCTGCCATAAAAGGAATATTACGAAGACTTGGTGGTTCGGTATCTTTTTCGTGGTCTTCTCCCATTACGCCACAACTGCTCTGGCAAGTTTAAATGTTGCATTTTTGATTTCTTTTTTCTAGCAATTTCGTAAATCAATTGATGAAAGCTGCAGTGGTTTCTTAGTCCAAGAGGTTACTTGTCGCTTTCGTATCATCTGAGTTGCACTCTTGTTGGAATTCTGTTGTTCCTGGGCATGTTACACCTAGTTAATTTAAGAATGTGCTGGACGTACGTATGGCGAACATCTGCTTTTTTGAGTAATCACGGTGCTTATTATTTCCAGAGTTTTGGAAATCGATCGAAATACCAAGCTTTGGTGATGTCCGCTCAGGGTGTTCTGCTGGTTCTGAACGCACTCATATCATTCTACGTGATGGGTGGCAATTGGCCGATGTTGAAACACACCACGAAGTTAGCATTCTCCAGAGCCTTTGGTGGGAGATGCTGC